TCCAATTGAATATTCTCTATTTCCTTACTCTATCTTTAGACTCTATCCCTTACTTCATGGTATACTTAGAGAGTCTTTTTTCTGCCAGTAAAGCAGCCTATAAAAATGACCTGTGTCTGTCCGATGGAGATCCACAAGATTTAATTCAAGGTCTACTACGCTTGTCTATTAATGATCTCATTTTTGAATCATACACCAGCATTAATGAAAAGAAACTTTGAATTCAATTTAATACCATTTAATTTTCAGCCCTGAAAAGTTTTTATTTGTAGCTCGGTAGTAACCTAACAAAAATCCCATTTTAATTTGTGCAGGAACACTGAAGATCCACTACAACGCTGTCCATCTGAAGATCAAACATCGCTGTACAGTGGCAGGCTGCACCATGGTCTTCAGCTCGCTGCGTAGTCGAAACCGACACAGCGCCAACCCAAACCCAAGACTTCACACGAGCAGCAGCAGAGACACCTACAGAAGCTCTGACCACACAAGCGTTCACACTGATACACAGATACATGGCTCTAAACAGGCTCGCAAAAGCACACAAGACAGTCACATGTATGTGTATAGGAAAAAGGAAAATGCCAACACATTTTGGAAACATACTAAGGATTCACAGGCACATGTGCACACTGTGGGGAGTGGCTTAAATGGTCACAAAAACCTCCAACATTGCTTTCTCCAGAGCATGCCACATCACGCTGACTCAACTCCTGTTTCTTCCCCTCTTCAGCACCAGAACCAACACACCGATTCCATCTTTGCCCTAAATAACCCCCAGGTCTTGCCTCCGCTTCCACCCCACCTCCATTCAGTTCATACTGCTTCTTCTCTAGGTTCCCCTCCCTCTCTGATCCCTGTAGTCAGTTCTGCAACAGACAAAATCAAACACCCCCTTCTGACTAACCATTCTTCCAGCACCACCCCAATTTCCCAAGAAAGTTGTGACACTCCGAGAGCATCCCATTACTGCGAAGGAAATCGGTGGCAGCCGGAGTCAATTGACCCCGTGCCAAAGAAGAAGCCCAGGAAGTCAAGCATGCCAGTGAAAATAGAAAGAGAGATGGTGGAGCGGAGGAGACACGAGAATGAAGAGGAGTACTGAAGAGTCACAGAGTTGCTGTTCAAAGTTTATATTCAGAAGTAAACTTTTTGTGAAAGAACAAATACAGAAAAAACAATTGCAGCGTGATAACAATGGAATTTCTCATCTCTGAGTTATTGTACAGGCCTCAGAGAGACTTACAGAATAGATTCTTCTGCAGAGTTTGAACAAGTATGAAGAAGAATCAGAGATGCTAATAAAGAATAATTTCTCAGTAATATGAATAAAGATTTTAATAATTTTTTAACATGATTAAAAATATTGAAAACAGAATGCTTGTGTTTCACTATAATTTTATGGTATATATCTCAATTTAACCCAATATGTGATTTCAGTATAGTGTAGTACAGAGTAAATACCAATATAGTTCAATTGACCACATAAGTACATTTAGAGTACTTTAGAGTCCATTTATCCGAATCATCTCCAGAATAAAGATGACAGATGAAGGCAAGTGAGAACCACAGAGACACAATAGAATCATTAATAAGAAATATGAAATCTGACAGAACATGAGGTCTGCTTCAGAAGTGATGCTCTGTGGTGAGTGAAACCTGATGAACATGTGGTGTCTGTGGGTCACCTGTGGGTATGTGTCATTATAAAGACACTGTGAGGACAGCGAAGATTAAGTATGGACAGAGCACCACCAGGTAGAAGACCACTCTGAACACAAGGCTGAAGGGAGAAGAAATGAAAGATGAAGCTGTAGATGTTGGTTTACCTGCAGAGAGAATCCCACCTGTTCAGGTGAATATGTGGATGAAATCAGAGGTGAAATCAGAGTGAAGCTGCTCACCTGTGACAGTGATCCAGCTGGATGGAGACTCTCCATGACCGCTGATGTCACACTTGTAGAGGCCTTCATCAGACCTGGAAACATGCTGGA